CTATGAATTCTATTCTATGAATTCTATTCTATTCTATTCTATGAATTCTATTCTATTCTATGAATTCTATTCTATGAATTCTATTCTATGAATTCTATTCTATTCTATTCTATTCTATTCTATTCTATTCTATTCTATTCTATTCTATTCTATTCTATTCTATTCTATTCTATTCAGATGGATCTTGGCTGAAAGTAGAGAGTACCAAAGGAATGTTTATCTTTGTTTCATTGACCATGTAAAGGCATTTGACTGTGTGGATCACAACAAACTGTGGCTGACTTTGCAAAGAATGGGAATCCCAGAACACTTGATTGTACTTATGAGAAACCTATACTTGGACCAAGAGGCAATTGTCAGAACAGAGCAAGGAAACACTGCATAGTTCAAAATTGGGAAGGGCTTGTGTCAAGGATTTGTCCTATCTCCATATCTTTTTCAATCTATATGCAGAACATTATCTGGGAGGCTGGGTTCTATGAGAAGTGTGGCATCAAGATTGGAGGTAGACTCATCAACAATCTGCATTATGCAGATGACACAACCTTGCTTGCTGAAAATGAGGAGGACTTGAAGTGCTTGCTTCAGAAGGTCAAGGACTGCAGACTTCAATATGGGTTGAAGCTCAACATCAAGAAAACAAAGATTCTCACCACTGGACCAACTGGCAGCATCATGATGGATGATGAAGAGACTGAGATTGTTGACAGCTTTAGTTTGTTTGGCTCTATAGTCAACACTCTTGGTACCAGCAGCCAGGAAATTGAAAGATGGATTGCACTGGGAAAGTCTGCTGTCAGAGACTTCTCCAAAGTACTGAAGAGCAATGATGTGAGTCTGGAGACTAAAGTGCGCCTGATCCAGGCCATGGTCTTTGCCATTACTTGCTATGCATCAGAGATCTGGACATTGACTAGGGATGACAGAAGGAAAGTTGATGCCTTTGAGCTTTGGTGCTGAAAAAAGTATTGAATGGACTGCTAGGAGAACCAACAAGTTTGTCCTGGAGAGGGTGAAGCCAGGTTGCTCCATGGAGGCAAGGATTCTGAAGCTTCATCTGACATAATTTGGGCATATTGCAAGGAGGGACCAGTCCTTGGAGAAGGATGTCATGCTTGGAAGGGTGGAGAGACAGCTCAGGAGAGGAAGACCCTTAATGATGGATTGATTCAGTCACTGGATAATGGGGATAGATGTGCTGGAGACAATAAGATTGGCAAGGGATAAAGCAGGGTTTAGGGCTGTTTTACATAGGGTTGCTATGAGTCACAGGTGACTCAATGGCACATAACAATAACAAAAACAAGAAGAAAGCTATAAATGGATGGCAGATAGGAAGCAGAATGCCTGCACTTCTCTGTTGCTTTCTTTCTTGTTATGGAATAGTAAACATTGGAACAAACATTGTTGAAAGACACTGAAGTCTAAGAGTCTCTGGGCGGTACAATTAACTTCCTCCACCACTAGCGGAATTTATTTTTGAATTATCACTGGTCCGTGATTATATGCTACTTTCTGAAATGTTTCTGTGTCAATCAATTGTTGGTGGTACAGTGTTTCCATGTATTTCTTCCATTCTTTTTTTCCCCTGAGAAGTAAAATATAGACTTAATGAGTGACGTTATTTGATTTGATTAATCATGATTGCTTCCCCTAAAGTCATATTCTAAATTACCTGACATTATCTCTATCTGTTAAAATTTTTATAGGTTTGAATATAATAATATATATACATAATGTTTTACACATGTACTTTGTGCTTTCTCCATTCATATAGTTTACATGTTGTTTAATTAATCACACTTGTTCTACGCCTATTATCACCCAGTCTTTTCGAGCCGCCATTGAATCTTCCCATTACTTCACTCCCTCTCTCCCCACTAACCTCTCTTTTCCCATTGATTTTTTTCCCCTACCCCTTTTTCTGCCCTCCTTCTCTCGTCCCTTTAGGACATTTATATATATCCTACTCAGTTTTCTTCCTGTCTTCACAATAGGGGTCTTACAGAATATTTGTCTTTATGTGACTGAGATATCTGTAGTTCCTATAGCATGATAAATCCTGAGTTGGTTCTCTAGCTTTGCACAAGTTGTTATAATACTTCACTTTATTTTCTCAAGATACCCTTTGAATATTTGATATTATCCTGTCACTGACAATATTGTACTTCAAGATAGATCTAGCAATGGCTTTTTTAACTATGAAAGCAACTCCATTTTTCCTCACTTTT